AAAAATACAAGATAATGTAGGACATCTAATTAGCGAAGACCAAAGTGGATTTACGCCTGGTAGATCTTGCACTGATAACTTGTTTATACTCAATTAATAAAATGGGAGATCGTGGCTTTTTGAAGACTGGGCATCGGACAGGGAAGTAAAATTTCGCATTGAGCAAGCTCGACACGCTTTCGTAAAATTCAAAAAGGTACTGACTTGTTCAGAGTTCGATCTTCAACTGAGACTAAGGTTTACTAAATGCTACGTATGGTCAGTGCTGCTATATGGCGTAGAGGGCTGGACACTCAAAACGAGGGATATAAACAGATTAGAAGCTTTCGAAATGTGGCTTTATCGCCGTATCCTAAAAATACCATGGACAACGAAAATCACAAGTATAAATGTCCTTAAAAGAATAAACCAAGAACGCCAACTTTTCGAAACCATCAAGAAAAGGAAAACGGCGTATCTAGGTCACATCATGCGAAATGAAAAATACCAGTTCCTCCAACTTATAATCGAGGGTAAAATTGAAGGCAAGAGAGGAATGGAACGCAAGAAAATGTCCTGGCTCCGAAACATAAGGCAATGGACAGGGATTAACGACATACAATCTCTGATACATATTGCAAGAAATAGATAGAGAATTAATGGAAAATGTGATCGCTAACATCCATAAGTGGATTTGCATCTGAAGAAGAAGAATTAATAAAAAAAAAGAATAGCGGTTGGTACCGAAGTACATCTAGGCTTCATCGACCTAGAAAAGGCGTATAATATAAGTATACAGGGATAAAACTACTTATCTAAAAATCGAAAATAGACTATCAGAGCCAATAAAAGTAACTAAAGGATTAAGACAAGGATGCAATACATCACCCTTACTGTTTAATTTATATATTGAGGCAGCTCTCCAAAATTGGAAAATCCACTGCCAGGAAATGGGAATCCCCATAGGAAATGACGTACTGTTCTCCCTGAACTTTGCAGATGCCCAAGTCGTCCTAACTTAATATTCTTATGATCTAGAATTTATGATAAAACGTCTATACAGAGAATATGTGAAATGGGGGTTACAAGTCAGCATGAAGAAAACACTTAGAAAAGATTGAGAAGGAAATATTAGACCAATACCTGCTACCTAAAAAGACAGAAAAGAAAAAACCATGGATGACCGACGGTATATTACTGATGATGGAGAGAAGAAGAGAATCCAAGCGGAAAGACTACGTTGTTGTTGACATTAATGAAAAAATTAGAGGCCTTTGAGATGTGGATTTATCGACGAGTATTGCGGATAAGTTGGGTTCGAATAAGAAATTAAATAGTTTTACATCGAATGAAAAAGAGCACAGAAATAACAAAAATGATAAAAATTCGAGATACAATATTTCGGTCATGTAATAATAATAGTAGCGTTTATTGTCCAATAGAATCCATTTATAGGACAAAATACAATACTAAAGTTAAATGAAATATTAATAATTCATAGGTACTAACTAAATAACACATTTTTCGAGTATTTTACCTTAACATAAAGAAACTACTTAATCACCTAGGTAGATCTCAGCCATCCTAGTAAGCTGCTTTAAACTGCAGTGAAATATATCGCAGTAAGCACTTAAGGAATTATAATAGTTGCACATGAGAAATAGAGGAGAATTTAACATGATTAGTTCTAGCTTGTGTATTTCTGAACGTAATCGAATTTCTCACTGGATAAGATGGAACGTTAAAATTTATTTGTCGAAGAATATCAGGGCAGTCAATGAGATTATGTTGTAGCTTGTACAGGAATATTAGGGAGGCATTAATTCGTCTAGATTCTAATGATACTACGTCCAAACCACTACACAACTCGCTATTGCTGATGCCCCTCCTGGGATATATGCCGTTAATTTTGAAAGACAAAAATTTTAAAAATTTCCAAGTAATGAGACATCCAGAGAGGTATAACCTTCTACACCTCATAATACAGGGTAAGAACGCCGAAAGGAGAGGCCCAGGCCGACGAAAAACATCCTGGCTCCGAAATCTCCGAGAATGGTATTAAGAGACCACCGCTAATTTCTTTAGAGCCGCCGTAAACAAGTTATTATTGCCAATATGATCGCCAACGTTCGATGACCGGATAGGGTACTGAAAGAAGAAGGATTAAAAAGACAGAAGCTCTTTCAACAGCCTTAGGAAGATTCTCTGCAACTTATCTTGAAGTATCAATATACGCATAAGAATTCTTAGATGTTACGTCATTAGTGTCCTCCTCTATGGAGTAGAAAGCTGGAGCCGTACAGAAGATCCCATAAAACGATTGGAGGCATTTGAAATGTGGTGCTACCGACTTATGTTAAAGGTCTCATATATACACCACATAAGTAACATAACTATTCTCCAGAGGCTAAGAAAAGACAAAGAAATTATTAACGTCATAAAAAACAGAAAATTGACTTACTTTAACCACATAATGCCTAATGATAAATACCTACTTCTACAGTTGATTCTACAGGGCAATTTATTTTTATTTAGCGTATGGCAATTTGATACACAACATTATCACATATATGTTACAATCTAACATCTAATGTATTAATATATTCAATCGACGCTGGTGTTGCAGAGGCGAAGTCTAGAGGATCTCCATAATACTTCCTCCGAGGGCATTCGGCAATCATATGCTGGATGGTCTGTTTCTCGGCGCCGCAGTCGCACTCAGCAGAGGTTCTCATCCTCCATTTATAAAGGGAATCTGCGCAGACTCCATGACCCGTTCTTATCCTGTTAAGAGTTGACCATGATTTTCGGGGGAGGTCAAAACCTGGTGGAGTTTCTGTGATGCATGGTGTGTTTCTCATTATTAGGTTCGGTCTGTCGCTCTGCATGTTCTTCCACTGGGAGTTCATTTGGAAATTGTTGGAACTCAAGTTTATTGCATCTCTAGTCGGAGGTTTTCTGGAGCGCAATCGATGTGAATTAGCGTCGGCGACATATGTGTGTATAGGTAATTGCGGGTTGTTAAGCAGCTTTTGGAATTCTCTAAGCAGAGCATGCTGACGACGAAGATTAGGTGGAGGTATATGGCTCAGTAGTGGAAGCCACTCCACAGGTGTAGACTTGATCGTTCCAGATATGAGACGCATGGCGACATTGAGCTGGGTATCTATAATTTTTGTGTGAACGCTATTCAGCCAAACAGGAGAGCAGTATTCAGCTGCGGAGTATACGAGTCCAAGGGCTGAACACCGAAGTGTACCTGCTGATGAGCCCCATGTAGTCCCGCAAAGCTTCTGTATGATGTTGTTACGGGTTCTCAGCTTTGCTGCGGTGTTCTCAAGATGTTTCTTAAAGGAGAGTGTTCTGTCCAGGGTGACGCCGAGGTACTTGGGATTATAGTTGTGCGTGAGCAGTTGGTTATCAATGTATACTTTAAGTTTTGTGTGGGCCATTTTGTTGTTCAGGTGAAAACAGCTAACCTCGGTTTTTTTGGGGTTAGGTTTAAGTCTCCATTGTTTAAAGTACTTAACCAGGCGTTCCAGATCTTCCGTTAGGATTGCCTCGGAGTTTTGTATTAAGGAGCTTTGAGTTGCAAGTGCCCAGTCGTCTGCATATCCAAATTTTTTAGATCTGGTAGGGGGCATATCAGCTATATACATACTAAATAGCAGCGGTGCAAGTACGGAGCCCTGGGGGAGGCCATTATTAAGCGTTCTCTGTTTGCTCACTGTAGTTCCCATGGTTACACGGATGTTTCTACTGCTCAGCATAGTATTTATGAGTCGGGCGGTTGCTTTGCAGGGGATTATTTTAAGGAGCTTATAGATGAGGCCATCTTTCCAAACCGTGTCATAGGCAGCCGATAAATCGATGAATGCCACAGACGTCTTCAGTTTTCTTTGGTAACCTGCCTCTATGTAGGTAGTTATAGAGAGCACTTGGTCAGTGGTGCTTCGTTGAGGCCTGAATCCTGCTTGTTCAATGGTATTTTTTGAAGTAGCTTTGGGCCGATTCTGTTCAGGACCAGTCTTTCGAGGAGCTTGTAAGCTGAACTGAGTAAAGCGATGGGGCGGTAACTCGCTGGGTTGTCTGTTGGTTTTCCAGGTTTCAGGATGGCTATGATTTTTGTTTGTTTAAAGAGGTTTGGTAGGTTACCTGTTTTGAGTATATCTGTATAGAATTTAGACAACCAGGTTTTTGCAGATTTCCCACAATGGATCAGGCATTCGGGAGGTATACCGTCTGTACCAGGAGCTTTGTTAGGTTTAATGTCTTTGATGGCGTTTGAGACTTCTTCTGGAGTGAACGGTGCAGAGTACTCTGTATCTGATGCACAGGCAGCTTTTAGATGTTTAAGCTCCCTTTTTATAGTAGTGGTAAACTTTTTATCACATGCTCCTCTGGAGGTGGCAACTATATGTGATGCAATTTTATTAGGGTTGAAGTCGTGGATTTGTCGTGTCTACAGGGCAAGACTGAGGGTAAGAGAGGCCCTGGATGTAGACGTATATCCTGGCTGGCCGATCTTAAGAAATGGACTGGTCTAACGTTAACTGATCTATTTAGAGCTGCTGTGAATAGAATAAGATGGATCAATGTGATCGCCAACATATCTAGAAGATAAGCACATTTAGAAGAAGACACCTTACATATTGGAAAAGAAGATTGACAAAATTCATTTAGTTTACAGTCCTCAATAATGTCAAACTGACAGCATAACAAAATTTAAATTATGAAGTGTAAGTGTGCATGTTTAAAGTAAGAATTTTGAGTATTTTAAAATATTTTTTACCTTTTTCTATTCCGTAATTTATTCACTTAGATTCTCTTGTATGTCTTCGATTTCAATCACCAATTCTTTGTAATTATCTATTCATGTTCTAGTTTATATTAATCTTTTAATGACATACTTAAATACAGTTTTTGTTTATTTAGCCCAAATTCCGATGAAAATGAAGAAAATCCAACAAAGAATCAACACTTATCCAAGCTGAAAAACGACTACTTATACCACATTGCGTTGGACACTGAAACGATGAATCTGGTTGATGCATTCGCAGATACTAAGTTTGTTTGTATGGGAGGATCTCCGACAAGAATGTACGCGTTTGCTAAGTTGATAATGCAAGAAATCGGCTACCACCTACCGTTTGGCACAAAATTATTAGATATCAGTGAAAAAGCTGATAGATTTGCTATGTACAAAGTTGGACCAGTTATATCAGTGAGCCATGGTATGGGCTGCCCGTCTATAGGAATTCTTCTGAATGAACTGATTAAATTGATGTACTACGCTAAATGTAAAAACCCGGTATTCTTTAGATTAGGTACTTGTGGAGGCATCGGTCATAAAGCAGGAACTCTTATAGTTTCCGAAGATGCTTGCAATGGATTGCTCAAAAAAGAATACTCTATTGTAAGTATCGCAAACCTTATATTGAAAAAAAAACTTTATTCTAGAAATAAGGGAAATGTGCCTATGATGGATCCCTTAAGGAAAAAGCTCCATAATAATTTTAATTATTTACTTTCTTCTTCTTCTTCTCGTGCCACTCCTAGCGGAGATTGGAAATCATCATGGCCACTGCGAGTTTGTTAGCAGCGCGCCTAAAAAGTTCAATCGAACTACACCCGAACCATTCACGTAGATTACGAAGCCACGATATTTTTCTTCTTCCCACACTTCTTTTGCCCTTAATTTTGCCCTGCATGATGTTTCTTAAAAGTTCGTACTTTTCACCTCTCACAATGTGCCCCAAGTATTATTTACTTAGCAGACTTTAAATATGACCACATAACGTCTTGTTATTTGTGTAATATGCAAATGTTTCAAGTTTTGATAAAAATTAAGATGACAAAAGCTATTCATAGTTTACTTAAATCCTGTTAAGGGTCCATTATTTTGTATAAAATATGTAAATACCAAATTATTTTATTAAATCAAAAGATATTCTAAACGATAAATAATATTACAAATAAGTATTTTTAAGAAAAAAGTTACATGCACAATTCACACACAAATTTTTTACGTCCAGGATTTACATCTGCACATTTATTGTGACACCAATTCTTACACACTTGACAACGAATCCATTTTTCTTTTAATCGTGAATGCGAAAGTAGTGCGTTACAGTAAATGCAAGCTGCATTTTCCGACTCGTCTTCTTCAAAAGAAGATTCACAATCGTCTTCAGAACTGTTTGTAGTTGAAACACGAACTTGCCTTTTCACTTTCCTTGCTTCTTGTTTTCTTTTTCTGCAATTTTTTTTTATATCATCAATTTCTGGCGTTGAATTTAAATATCCTGTTTTACCCCGTTTTCTACCCCTTTTCTGAGTTACTTCAGATACTCCAGCTAAAGGAGGAGGATACATATCTTCGACCGAGATGTTTAGGACCGAAGATGATGTTGATTTCTGATCAGTGATTTTTGATAAACCTTCAATTGAAGAAACATTTTGGTTCCGATGTTCCGGTAGTGAGTTCCCGTCAGAACATCGTGGTAGTGTTTTGTTCATAATTTTCTCTATCTGTTGTCATAGACATGTATTGCATTTGATGAAAGAGCACTTTTTAAATATGCTCTATTAAAGATACTGGCTACTTTAAATTGGTAATGTTTATACAGATTGAACCAAATTAAAACGGAACATACAATTTAATACATGTCTGTTTGAACTGCATTTAAAATAGTGGACCAATATAAAACTTGGACAAAAATAAATCCATACCTGGGTATAGACATTGTATAAAATATCGTTCAACTATCTGTCTCGCAACAAAGTTGTTTGCGTAAGACGGGTTTGTCTAAGGAGGCCAAATAGTTCAGGAATTGAAGCTCGAAAAAAGTTAAAACCTCGCAATTTTTTCGTCCTACATGTATCCAGTTGAAATTTTAGCAGAAGGTAGGTAATAGCCCAAGGATCAAAATCTATATCAAACCGAAGTGCGTTGAAGGGTTTTAGGGGTGAAAACTACCCCTAATTGTCAAAAATTATAAAATAACATATTAAACCTGAATATGGGTAAGATTTGGTTTGAATTAATTAAATAATGATTATTTTATACTTTTCAATAGAGTTCCATCATATTTCAACCCTTAAAAAGCAACCTCTGTTAGAGATTAATGTAAAAAATTACTAATTCTAAAAAAATGATTTCGCCTTGGATCGATTTGGATAAAAATTTGGATTTAAGCTCAATTTACCCGCTGCTTTATAGTTTATGTCATGTCAACGAACCCTGATTGTTCTTAGGGATGAAAACTACCCCTAATTGTCAAAAATTATAAAATAACATATTAAACCTGAATATGGGTAAAATTTGGTTTGAATTAATTAAATAATGATAGTTTCGTGCTTTTCAATAAAGTTCCATCATATTTCAACCCTTAAAAAACGACCCTCATTAGAGATTAATATAAAAAAATTAGTAATGCGAAGAAAATGATTTCACCTTGGAACGACTTGCATAAAAATTTGGAATTAAGCTCAACTCACCCTCTGCTTTATAGTTTATGTCATGCCGATGAACCCTGATTGTTCTTAGGGGTGAAAACTACCGCTAATTTTCAAAAATTGTAAAATAATATTACAAATCCTAAGATGAGTGAAATTTGGTTTGGATTAGTTAAATAGTGAGTTTTTTATACTTTAAAATACAAATTCATACATTTTCAACCCTTAAAAATCAATTGTTATGAGTGCTATAGGTGAAAACAATTTTTTTCCAAAATTTTGCAACTTTTCAACTTTTGAAAATCACCCTTTACAACATTGCAGTTTTTATAAACTAATTTATAAGATATAAATTGAAAAAAGTAGAATTAAATACAAAAAAAAATTATCAACATAAAAAGGCACCATATATTCTTATACATTTACATAAATAGTTGAAAATATTTACATTTATAGGTAAAACAATTATAATATTAATTTTATTCGTCATCAATTACATCTTCATCGTGATCTATGTCATCATCATCTTCCTCAATTATTGGTGGACTGTTATTGCACCCTTCACCTGAGCACCCAGAACAAGTAGAGTTACAGTATAAACCAACTTTTCTGCACCCATATGAAACGCCGCATCCTTTTTTGCATTGGCAAAAAATAATTTTCAAAAATTTATCGGGTGCAGGTTGTTTGTTCATGCGTACGGGTAATAACAAACCATCTTTGGAAAACCATCCCCAATCTGTTGCTCTGATATTTTCATTGCCAAGCCATAGACATATGAGCAGATGTTTTATTCTGTTGTATGGGATTTCAAAATAAGAACGCTTAAAATTTCGAATGTATAACGCCCCACTAGCTAATATACCGGTTTTGTAGATTATTATGCTCCGAAATGTACTGTACTATACTAATGGAATTTTCCGGAAAAAAATTAACTGGTTTTTTTAACGTATTTCCTTTAATTTTTAACGATAGATGTTTCTTCAAAAATGATTTGTAGAGGTTTTTAATAGCTACAAGGATCTGTGAATTAAATCTTTTTGGAACCCTTAGTTTTTAAATGGGGTGAGTTTAAAGGGCTCGAAAAAGATGGTGCTTGATCGTAAATCGATGCTTTAAACGGCTATATCTCGCCAAATATTCATTGTACAACAAATGTAAATAAAGGATAATTTTAGTCATTAAAAAAGCTACAATTTGGTAATTTTTATTTTTTCATATATTCAGTATTTTCGGGCATATTTAAAAAAAGAAGGGTAAAAAATATGAAATTGTAAATCGTTTCTCGCTTTAAGCTGTACTTTTTCTAAAACTAAGCATTTTAAATGGGTCAAACTTCTTGGACGTATTAACAATACATCTACAAAGGGAATTGCAGAAGGGTGAAGATCGATTTTAATTATGGGGGTGGTTAGGGTGTTGTTTTCCTCGATTTTTTCGTAAAAAATGAGGTATTGATCTTATTTTTTTATGATAGGTCTATTTATGCTCTTTAAAAAAGGTTTTGTGAGTTTTCTTCCAAAAATGCATCATTTTCCCGATATTTGACTTTGAATCTTTCAAATTTGGCATTTGAAGAAAACCGCTGAACATTGATATTGTATTTGTAATTGTATTTGTCTTTTTAAAAGCTACAAATTTGTTCTCTACAATTTTTTTTGATAAAATGCACCATTTTCGAGTTATTCGCGAAAAATCGATTAAAAACGTGGATTTTTTCGTCTAAAAGTTGTTACTTTCAATCGCGAATAACTTGAAAAATATCATTTTATAAAAAAAATGTATAGCACATTTTTTGTTTAGAATCACTTTTCTAATCGAAACCTGTAGTTGAAACGTAAAAAAAAATTTCACCTCGGAGATGGGGTGGCAACCACCCCTTAGGCTTTGGCGCACTTTGGTTCGATATAGATTTTGATCCTTAGGCTATTACCTACCTTCTGTTAAATTTCAAGTCAATCCACGCCGCACGAAAAAATTGCGAGGTGAAATGCTACATTTCCTGGACTATAACTGGTTTGACAGCATAATAAAATCGTAGATTTATGTGTAGCTTTCAATTTTTATGAGCTCAGAATCCAGCAGCCCGCCGAAGTATGTGATTTTTTATAATATAATTATTTGACAATCTTTTGTTGGCCAACGAGCTACAGCAGAATTGAGCCGAAATACATTATATTCCTATGTTCCGAATTTATTTCGTTCAATCTGTATAACTGTTTTACCTGGATTCTGTCGCAGTCATAATTTAATTTCTTGAACATAATTTGATTTCGTTGAACGTGATGAGAGTAGTGAGCAGGAAAACAAAACATAATAATACCGTTTTCTTTTGCAAACTGGAGAGTTTCAAAACTTGTATAACTACCATGAACATCGAGTAACAACAAAACTTGGTTGGTTTTAGAAGCCTTTGAGTACCTTAAAAAATGTTGCGGCCAGACACAGAAAATGTGCAAAGTCATCCATCCCCTTTCTTGAGCGAAGGCTACACTTCCAGTAGGTGCATCGATCATAAGTTCGCCTTTCTTTCTCTGTCGCGGAAAAAAACAAAAACGGGAGGAACATATGTTTCAATTGCATTCATTGCACATATGACCGTAACATGTAAACCGCGCTCTGCAATAACTTGTTTGCGACCTTTACTAGCATAAATCTTCTGCGATCTCTTTTACACAGTTGTCAAACTCGTGCATGTTATAAATGCTTTCCGGTTGAAATTGAAATTCGTCTAATATATGTGCTAATGCTGTAAAATATGCACACATTTTGGTTTATTAAAGCTTGAGTCCTTGCCAACGAAGTATTTTCCGAAATTCGTAATGATATTCGAGGATTTCACTTTAAAAAACCTCTGAACCATTTCCAGCCTGCCATCTTGGTTTCCTTATTGAAGCTGTAACTAATATTGTTTCTTTCAGCTACTTTGTATACAAGTTTTCGTAAATTTTTACTGGTTAGGCGTCAGGCCAAAAAAAACGAGCTTCCATGGTGATAATATAGCAGTGGAATATATTGGTCTTCGTCCTCCCAAATCACCTTTGGTACTTTCTTGTTGCTTATTAAAGCTCCTTTTCAAAGTCATTTTTGGAACGGTAAATGTTTTTGCTGCCAGCTTAAACCCCATAGTTTTTCTTGTATGCTTTTTAAAGCTTGCTGCGGATTACTCTCACTCCACTGTTGCTTTTTATGAGGATCCATCCCTGTAAAATTTATTATGTTCATCGTTAAGTAGCAACTAATTTCCTTTTTCCTATGGATGGACCCCTAGTCCGTCATAGGCAACCAGTAGCGCACCTAGAATTTTCCTCTGGGGGGGGGGGGGGAGTTTTGGTTGGGCGCCGAAATTTTTTTATGCTACTTTCACCATTTTAAGGTCCTAAAGATATCAAGTATAATGATTTCTGGTCATAGATACTCTCCTTTAAATTGATACATACTACATACTACCAAGTTTGTTGTGAATTTTTGATGTAGTATATTTATCATTTTTCAAATTACAGCCTGTCCTTGGAAAAGTGCTCAACAGACCAACAGAACTCGATAAACAATTATGTGACGAATTGAAATCTCTTTCACAAGCCGATGATGATTTTCAGATAGTTTCAGGAACTACCATGTGCACCGATGATTTTTATGAAGGTATTTGTTTTTATCACACCTTTTTATCGTACGAGAAATTTTTGTATTTTGTTTAGGTCAAGCAAGACTAGATGGGGCATTTTGTAATTACACAGAAGAAGACAAAATGAATTTTCTAAAACTTCTTCAGAGCAAAGGAGTATCTAATATTGAAATGGAAGCAACGACATTTGCTGCGTTTACTCAAGCTGCCGGAATTAAAGCTGGAATTATATGTGTGGCTCTTCTTAATAGATTAGAAGGAGATCAGGTAATAACAAGATCTTTTATCAATGTTAAATCAATATTTTTGTTTGTAGTTTCTAGATTGACATTTTGGTTGCCTAGATTTGGGCGCGACCAATTTAATGAATGCTATTTAAACCTTTACCCAAATATTTTCTTTTTCTAGATATCTACCCCAAAAGATGTTTTAACTGAATGGCAAATACGACCACAAATTTTGGTTACCCGATATATTAAAAAGAATCTTGAAATAAAGTGATTTTTGGAAAATACATTGTTTTTTTATTTTTAAATGTCGTTCGTAGTCAAATTATATTTATTAAAATACACTGTTGTGCCTTTTGACTTGAGAATATAATTATAATCAAAATTGGGCTCCTTCCTATAAAAATTCTTTAAAAGTTAATAACAATCACCAAAATAAAATTATGTAAAAAATACTTTTTAATATAGCGGTTTATACTATCAAAATTTTACCTTTTAAACGCAATATTGATTTAATGTTAATTAAAATTTTAAAAATTTTATAATGAACAAAATTGAAAATATAATAGGAACAAAATTCACAAAAAAATACGTCGTACCCCTATTACAACTGTATCTTAATTTCAGATGTTTAGGGAAATTTATTTTTAATGACCTTGATGTTGCCTTACTGAATTAACTAACTTTCGTTTCATATGTCAATTGTCTTCCTATCGTTTCCACCTTCATCGAAAATTTCCCAGTGATTAGTTTGTAAAATAAGTTATTTTTAACATAAATGCAAAAAATCAACAAAAACAACATATTATTGGATGACGGATGACAGTTAAATTGTGACTTGTGTTTTAAATCAGTTTGAATATCAAACACACATGTAAGTATTCATGTTTTATCCTAATATGCTACTTATTTGCATTTAATATGCCACACCAATTTGATTCATTTTACGTGTGTTTTATTTGCAGGAATACTGAGGAAGATGACAATTCTAGAGAATAATGTGATTCCTATGCACAACAAATTATCTCTGACCAAAACTAAATACAAAACTGGTGACCAACTCAAGAGGAAATATTTATTTGAGGAAGATTCGGTTCCCACAAAAAAGCAAGCCTTAAACGATATGTTAAACGGATATAGAGGAGGAGATCAAAGGAGCAACGGAGATGCCTTACAAGAATCTCCAGTTGCTACTTTATCAAATATGGGAAATACTTGTTTCCTGAATAGTGTACTGTATACTCTAAGATTTGCGCCTACCTTTTTGCATAATTTACATCATTTGATAGGCGATTTAGCTCTAGTCAGTTCAAAATTAAACCAGAATAAAGCAAAAACGTCATCTCTAGGAAGAAATATAGGTTCTATTACAGGGCCTAGCTCACGTAGTACAAGCAGCAAAGATTTGCTATCTCTAGGGAGTTCTAATGACATTATTCCAAAATCAAAAGTGCAAGTGGTTACAGAAAAATTACATGAGTTATTTCTGACCATGCATAACCTTGAAATTAAAGATTTAGTTGATCCCTATCAACCTGTAGCATTGTTGCAAGCTGTAAGAGAAGCCAATTCAATATTTGAAGGAAACAATCAACAGGCAAGTAATTTATTCCAGTACAGGTATATGTATTATGTTATTCATAGGTAATACTTGCAAGGATCAATTATTTATAAACTTAACTTTAATGACGGGTCATAACAAATGATGCCACTAAGTATGAATACTTATATCGTAGCATTTGCAAAAATTAATTAAACAACTACCTAATAATTATTCATATAACATCCAATTCAATTATTTAATTATTATAATTAGCAAGGTTTACTTTATTTCAAATGTATATGTGCCTTTTACTTTTTCAAGTCAATATATAAGAACAAATTAAATTGTTCTTAGACATTATGATAATTATTATTATAAATTTTTCCATGAGACTATTTTTTTTTGATAAGATTCATTTATAGAGTAAAAATTCGTTTATTCTAAATTTTCATAACATATCTGGCTTTCTATCTATAGCTTGTGGATTATGTGAGATTTTAAAAGTATTAGTTTGTGTTTATCAGAAGTTTTCAGTGTTACTTCTTTTCTGCACATGGTATTATTGTAAAAATAGGTTTTTTGACCTAATTTTTTCCGCTTAGATGTTAGGATATATACAATGATTGTCCTCTATGGGATAAAGTCGGAGTTTTGAGCACCTTCTGTCCTTATCATTATCTGGTTGCTACCAAATTAATTGGGAACTGTATCTTGAATGCTCCTTCAGAGAAATTGGCCAATAATCTACCACATAGGGAAGGAATGTGAGGTTTGAATAGAATAATACTGATATTTTGATCTGATTTCCTTGTGTGGGTCAGTGGAAAAAAACGGGAACTCTTGTAGGCAGATCAATAAATACTTGCAGTAAGTTTGTCTTGTATTTACCTTATTTTAATTATAAAAAATGCTGTTACAATTATGTAAGTGGACAATTTTTCTCTAGTAATAATAATTATATTATTTGTTGTAGGATGCTCATGAACTCCTTGTATATTTACTCGACAACATTCGAGAGACCTGTGATGTATTAACTCAACAAGTTCAGCAAAATCCTGAACTACTAAACGAAGCTGAATCTCTACCCACTGTAAATAGTAGCAAGCTGTGGAATGTCAGGAATTCGTGGAAAAAGAGCCTTAAAAAGAAAGACAAGTCAACAAAAGAAGCAATATCGGAGGAACAGGTAACAAATAGTTCTACTCTCGGTTACTTACTTCTCTAACAAATAGTTCTACTTCTCTCTACAAAAAGTTTCGTTCCCTTGATCTTTGCGCATTATTAATTTTTATATATTATTGTTGATTTCAAGTCACAGAACCTAAAACCATGTAATTAAGCTGCTTTCACATCTATAATATAACACATTTAACAAAGAAAAGATTATGATGACAGCATTCTTGATTATAATGAGTGTTTTTATTTTTTAAATTCATTTTGGTGTCAAAATCTTGTAGTTTTTTTTTAAGAATTATTATGGCAACTAATTATATTTTTAAGGCAAAACTAAAAATAATATACCTACTAAGTAAGCTCAAATAATATTCATGACCTCTAAAAATTTGACAAAGGGATTCTAATTCTCACATTTGATGTTTGACTTAAACTTATTAGTTTAATAAATATAAATAATTGAATGATGGCGGAGGTGCAAAAAGTTGCAGATTGATTATATTTACATATATTTATTAATTTCAAAACTATTTAAAAATATGTCACTAAGGCAAATTTGCTTCATAGTTATATTTTGAAATTCCAAAGTTTTGGAAAATGTTTTAATAATAGTAGGTATATCATACTGATGCTAATTTCTAATGTTTATTCTAAAAATTAGAATAATTAATCTAATAATCTTATACATAAAATACTAGCTGACCCAGCAATCTTCGTACCACCTAAGAATTACATTTGTCTAAAAAATTAACAAACTAAAACAAAAAAAAACACTCAAAAATACTCATAATATATTAGGCATAAAAAAGGTTAATAAATTTATTGCTTTCTAAAAAAACAAAACAACAATTACTTTCATTTATTTATTTATTTATTTATTTATATACTGCATCCATTTACTTACAATTTTTACAAAGTTACATCTTAAAAACAATATATTATTAAAATAACAATCACAAGTTTTACAAAGTTACACCTTAACAACAATAAATTATTATAACAAACACCTCAGAATAATACAAACATATAAAAATAATACAGATGTACAACGAACTTATTGTAAGATATTTTTTGGTTGTTTTTTAAACAAACTAATTTTGGAGTCAAAAATATCTATTTGCCTTGGCAAGCTATTAGCACTCCGGACCAATTGTGTAGTTGGTTCATTGATACCATAATTAATGTGGTGAAATGGCACCGAAAAGATTTCTGATTGTCTGTTGCTTCTACTAGGAACTTTAAGACTAACAAGCGATAATAGCTGAGGACAATCTATAAAAGCATTGATAACTTTGTATAAGAAACATAAATCTAACAATGTCCTCCTTGACTCAAGTGTTGGTAAGTTAAGACTATCTCTTACCCACTGATAGTCGTATTCCTCTCTCCTGTATCCACTCTTATAGGCTGCTACCCTCAAAAATTTATTCTGGACTCTTTCAATCTGTTGAATGTAACAGTGGTATGATGGGGACCATACAACTGATCCAAACTCAAGAATGGGCCTAACGGGACCCCAATAAAGTCTTCTAAATGTAAGTAAAGACAGATCCACAGATGTGCATTGGATAAATCCCAGCACTTTCATTGCTCTGTTTGTTACTTGGTTAATGTGGCTTGAGAATGACAGTTTGGTGTCTAACCAAATTCACAAGTCTAATACTTCATTTTTCGAGGCTAATGGCAAGTTATTTATGTAGTAAACAAATGTAATTAGATTTCTTTGTCTCGAAAATGTCATTTTAATGAACAATGTCATTTTCTAAGAAACTAATCTAACATCAAGTGAGTCAGAGGGTTGGTATTTATATGATCTTTCAGAACTAAAATCTTGTTTATAAAGTTAATAAAAAAAATGCATTATGTATTTTTCTGTAGTGTCTAGATATGGGAGAACTGGTGAAATGAGTGACTTTAGTTAAAATCTCTGAGAACTATGGTATTTTCTGCTGCTTTGACAAGATCTAGAGCATCAGTAAGATCTTTGTAAAATGCTTCTAATTTATCTTCATCACTGGATGATGTTGGGGCATAGAACTGAATTACATTGGTAATGAACAGCTTTGAACTAAATTTCAATAGCATTACTCTGTCAGATATGGGGATATAATATGATTGAGCTAAGTGTTTTGCTACTATGATTGTAACTCCATTATAGTGATTGACATCGGTATTTCCGGCAAGGTACACTTGATATCCATCTATGTCACATACCCCTGATCCCAGCCATCGCATTTCACTTATTCCGAGGATGCTGATTTGCATTCTTTTTATTTCTTTTATGGCATTATACTGACTCAAACATGCTTCTGACGTTCCATGTGGCTATTTTGCAAGGATTTCGCATATTAACGACCTGAGAGGCCCTGCAGTCTTGAGATTGTCCTCTCTTGCCGGATCTTGTTTTCCGAGATCCATGATAGTCTAGTAGTGCCAAAAGGCCTTTAATGCAGTAGTTCTCCTTTGCTTTGCTTAAGAAATACCAGAAGAAAATATTTTGGAAACTCAAACAACTAAGGTTGACTCATGTAGGGATGTTGCCATCAAAAGTGTATGTATTTTGTATCAATAATAAATAACAATGTATGGGATAACGACTTAAGAACATTGCAAAATATTATTTGAAGTTTATATTCTTAATTGTATTATTTTTAGGTAAATGGAACCCATACCACCGACGCGGAAGACTCAACTTCCATAGACAGCAGCAACGGTTCGACCAAAAGAAACTCGGATACAATTTCGTAGCCGAAGACTTCGAAGGAATAACGCTTCGGCGTACGAAATGTCTCGAATGCGAAAGCGTCACCGAACGCAAAGAACCCTTCTACGACATACCGGTACCCATTTCTCTGAAAGACGACGATTTGGCAGATATGAACGTCAACGACATTTTCCGACGTGCGTGCGTCACCACCGAAAAACTTTGCGACTCGAATAAATATTTGTGCGAAAAGTGTGAACGATATAACGAGGCCAGTAGGGAAGTTCTTTTCGAAAAGTTGCCGAATATTATGGTGTTGCAATTGAAAAGGTTTACCACGTCCACGTCGGGTGTACAGAAAGTTATCACTTATCTTCCTACGCCTTTGGCTCTTGAGTGTTTTTGTGAGAGTTGTTGTAAGGTAAGTACCACTAAAAACTAGCTAAAGACATTAATATACCTAAGTAAGTTTGTTTGGACTAAATCATAATAAAGATTATCATTATAAATGCATTCTTTTGAAGAAATAAAATATAGAGTATACAATAGCGACATCCCCGCCCACAGCAAGGATCAGAGTCTCTTCTCCTATTTGCTGATGATACAGCTATTCTTACCTCAGGCTCCTACAGGGAAGGAGAGCGACGGTCTGTATTCGAGAAATCGCAAGATTATCTTGACAGAATCGTGAGGTGATGCAACAAATGGAGGGTTACTCTAAACCCCTCCAAAACACAAGCAATCCTATTTAGACCCCCTTACGGACGCGGCCTTCAGGGCCGGGTGACACTTTTGGGAGAGGACCTTATTCTCAGGAACTCAGTTCTCTACTTGGGAGTTCGTTTTACGAGAACTCTCAATTGGAAGACGAACGTCCAAGATTCCCTTGACAGGATGAGAAAGAGGCTCAACCTCCTGAAAGTGTTGGCCGGTAAACTAGGAGGAACGTCCACTAACACATTGTTGCACACCTACAAGACTTTCATCAGACCGATTATCAAATACAAGGCATGCGTTTACCTCTCCTTGAGGAACCATGAACTCAATGCCGTCACCGCCACAGAGCGTAGAATACTACGTTTCTGCATGAGAAAAGACTGGCTGTATCCATCGGCCCACATATATGCAATAGCTAACATCACACCTATCAAGGACAGAATCCTAACCCTCAGTAGGAAGTATGTCTTAAGAACCATAACTGGCTCGAACAACCGAGCAAAACAAACATTAAAGACACCTTGTTCACATAGAGGGCAAATACTCACCAGGCATCCCGCTAAAAAGTTCCATTCCCTCCAGCTAAACTTCTACATAACGCTGGACCTGAACTTCCTGAGGAGTATTTTGATATTTTAGAATCTTTCACCATCTACTATCGCAGATAAACTGCGCACCAAAAACGCTGATAAAGAGCCGTTCCTACTGTATGGCTGGTAACCCTGAAGTACCTCACTGCATGCTAGGCAATCCCACTTCTTCTTGTGCGTTCACGATTCTTATCGATCACAAAATAAGCCACCTTCTTTTCCCCTTATTTCCTTAGCAGTTCTCTGCTTCTTAGGCCGCGTTTCGATCAGTTGACGTTTTTTCTCGTAACCCCTACAACTCCGACAAAAAAAAAGGAGTTCCCCGTTCCTTGAAGAGGCGTAAGCCTAAACAAGGTTAAAACTCGAGGTTAGTTAGTTCGTTTAAAAAATAGGAGAAAATCTAAATTTTATTTTGTAGTTCACCCTGTATAGCGTCAGTCAGGGTAATTGGAAACACTACTTGAAATTTCATGATGTTTAAGCATTTGAAATTTATTTAAAAATATACTGTTTCATATTTTAATAAAATAAAAAACTTTTCGCTATTATTATACGAAAAATTTACGGTAGAATAACTTAAAAACTAGTAAAAAAAGTCACCAAAGAAGGTATCCAATATTTCCATTTATCCCACAAATTTTAAGAAAAAAAATTAAAAAAGGAGGTAAATGTAAACAATGATCTCTGTTTCGGTTAAACATAATCTAAACAAAAATACTGGAGTAAAATGATACATGGTTTGTAATCTAAAAATCGTGCAAGTTGGTTCCATTAAATACGCCAATGTTTCCAATTACCCCCGAATATATCAAATATGCTAAGGAAACTTAAAATAAATATTCACTTATTTACTGAAGTTTAAAAATATCTAACCTATTAGGAAACTTATTAAACATTCTTTCACCTTTCATAAAAATATTTGGCTCAGGGACTATACCAATAATTTGTTGGAAGTTGACGAAACTAATGTTAGTTTTATGTATGGCAAATTGCTTGCAGGTACAATTCGTACATTTTAGACCTCTAACCTTAATTTTATTTTCATCCCAATCAATATCTTCGATCATACAAAGGTATCTGTAAGATGTTGTCAGGCTTTTACCGCCCTTGAATTCTACTGTACTCTGTTTTTTAACTAGGAGGAGTAAACCAAAAAGACAGATTCACACTCAAGAAAGTTACTAGAAAAGTCACCAAATACATCTTCTTTTTTTGTTGATTATCTCGGCCTTGCGGTAATCAAGTAGGTAATCAATATTGGACAACCTCACACGTCAATTTTACCTAACTTTATTTATGTTGGAATAATAAAATAATTTTTTTCAATTCACTTCCAATATATATATTACAATTATTACAATAAAAAAACGACGTTTTTCACATTTGGTCCCATGTATATATATTTAAATATCGGGTGATCCAATTTTATAGATAAGTCTATGGTATTTAATTATAATTTAGAAAATATTTTGATCGGAAGAGTCAATAATATTACAGATCTAAGTATGGTTTTTCTCAGAAATTTGTCTTTTAATAGTAGACCATATTCTTATTCTGGTATGATCAATTTCTTAAATCTAGTTTTTTTCTTACCAGATACTTTGTATAAATAAGTGTGTATTAATTTCTTTAATGCTGGATTTTTGTTTAATTTTGACAGTGAGTTTATCCCATTTGTTATCAACAAATAAAATTTACTAAAAAATACTGGATTTCTGTGAGATAATCAACAAATCCAATCTATTATGTTACATTCTTGCATAATTTTGCAGTTTTCTTGTGATGATCTACAACCAGGAAGAACAAAACCAACTGTATCATACAATCAAACTAAAACACAACATTACTTTACTAATGTTCTTTTATTGTGATGAAAACAAAATGGAAATGCTTCTTAACAAGTATACACTAAATTTAAAAGATAGTTGCCGTTTTTCCTATAATAATTAGATATAAATAATATACATTTATAAATTTATAAACACTTTAAACTATATTTAGTATAAATATCATCTAGAAAAATATCACATTAAATACTATTCGCATATCACCAAGTCCAAGTTATTACAAAAAACTTAAAGAGTCAGAAATCGATTTATATATTAAATATTAGAGGAAAATAATAATAATAATAAATAAATTTTACAAATGTCATTAATGTCAATATGTCATAATTTAGTGGAGTAAACTTGCCTGCGGTTGGACCAATTGCAAACAAGCATTACGGCGCGGAAAATTTGAATTACTCCTCCTGGTTAAAAAACAGACCATAATACAAATTTCCCCTGCTGGAGTTTGTGGTGTTCTGCTGCCTTTAGTTCTTGTAGCTCTTCTTCTACCGGTTCATCCCATGGACTGTCATCACTCTCAGCATAAAATACTTCTGTTTCACTTGCATCAGATGACGACAATAATTCTTTACGTTTCTTTGTATTTGTATCTTTACTTGGTACTGGAGTTTCAAGCGAATCAGCAATTTTTTCGAACTCTATTTCCTTTCTGCTTTCTAAAATCCTCTCGTTCCTTCATTTTTGTTCAAAACGTCACTAGCAGTTAATACTTCTCCATAGGCCAACTGTTTTAGATGAGGATTATCTTTTTCTCTGTGGGAGCAATTTCTTTAACTGTGTCAGATTTAAAAAAAAATTTTTTTGTTCTTGTTAACTCCACATGAAATATACAGTCCAATTTGTCTTTGGTGGGAGAAATAAAACTAGACATATATAACTCTGCAATTGATGTTGCAGATTTAGCTACAGACATTGGTGTTTTGATGATGATGGTTCAGCTTCATTTATTAATGTTTTGTTAATAAATCCACCAGTATTTTCCTTATTCCTATCTAAAGTATTTTCACCAGAAGTCTGGGAGGGGAGTATTTTTTCTTTATAAAACTGAAGCTGCTCCGAATTAAATTCGGATTCAGGAAATTTTTGACTATTTACAGGATACACACCAGTAGTCTCAAAACCAATATTTTGGGAGAGCATAGCCTCTTGCCAAGTTTCACTTGGAAGTTCTACGAATTTGTCCTTAGATAAAGGCCCGGTACTTTCCCCATTCTCTTCTTTCCATATGCTACTACTTTCGATCCCATGTATATTTAAATGATTTGAAAACACACTTATCAAGCGGTTGCAAATTGTCCGTTAAATTGGAAACTTAATAAGGTCAATGTTCTATTTCAATGCTTGTTCAATTATTCGAATACTCATATGACTTCAGTGGCCACCATATAAGAGTACAGATTTTTGATTTGGTAAATTCTGTATCTCTCGAATTGTTTGCACATGTGATACAAATCTATTAGGAAACCAATAGTAAAATTGAGGTTCCTCCATCCAACCATTCTTGCTAGAAGCGTATAGTTCCTGGCATGGCGCCTGGTGACACCCATCTTGCTTGGACAGCAGCACCCTTAAAAACGATGAGTGGTGGTAAATATTTTTCATCTGTTAAAACACATGCGAGCACTGTCGTGGACTCCCGTTCAGAACCATCAGAAACTCTGCATATAACTTTCCCCTTTGATCCTATAGCTCTAATTCTGGAGGGATCACTATTAAATTCACTCTCGTCAGCAATAAATACAAACATGGATTTACTGATGTCATTAAGGACATTATTTTGAACATCTTGTTTTAGTTTATAATAGAAATCATAAATAATTTCTAGCTTTCGATCACATTTTCTAAGTTTTTGAATATGCTCAGGTATCTTTAGCGAAAGTGAAGGATGGCGTTTCATAAATACAAGATACCAATCTTCACCAAGGATGCCACCTTTGAAGCGAGTTTTTAGCTATTTGCCTTTAACATATTTACCAACTACATTTAGTAACTCTTGCTCAAAAGTTGGACTATTGTTGAAAATCTGAAAATATTAGTCTTCCAGAACTATCTTAACAACAGTGTTGCCATATTTGTAGTAGTTGTAGATGTCGCTACGTGTCTCAGCATCAACTTTTGTCAAACTGCTCAATTTGTTGATCAATTTGTGATATCTAGGTGGAAGATAACCAATCCCGCATCCATCGGTACAAGCTCTGTTGCGTCATAATGCACTTGGGCGGAACTATGGCGTCTGGTCACTACATTGCGTACGTGAAGGCTTCCGATCACCTCGAGGACTACACGGATTGTACCCGAGACCTGCCCAAAGGAAGTTTATCGGCGAGCAGCAGCGAAAAGTCCCTCAATATAATCAAGTTTCTCAAACCCCGAACGTTAGGCAGTTCTTTGATTGAAGGAAAGAACGGCTTGTCTTCGAGGAGCGTCAACGCTATTAGGACCTGTAAAAGCATGGATTGTTGTGGGGTAAGTAACTTTTTTTTGTTTATTTATTAGCAATCACCCGTTTCATTTTCTGAGTTATAATAATTGAGATAATAATCTAGAAGAGAAAGGATTACCAGCGAACGCATTAGAGAAATTATGGGAATCAAATGAACAATCACAGATGACCTAACAGCAAAACAACTTATCTGATTCAGATACATACAAAGAATGGATGAACAACGAATACCAAAAGAAATATTAAAATGGCAACCAGAAGGAAAGAGAAAACTGACTGAATAAATAAAGAACTGACAAAGAGGGCCATAGAAGAAGACCTATTTAACAACCGGACTAAGTGGCGATTGGAAGTCGGAAAACGGCAGAGAATGTTATAAACCGACAAGTAGTAGTAGTAGTACAGTCAAAATCGTTTATAACGAACTTCAGGGGACTGGTGCTTTTTGTACGTTGTAGCCAGTGTTCTCTGTAATAGTGATGGGCAAAATGACTCATTTGAATGTTTCGAATCATTTGAATTGACTCACTGTGATGTTTCGAAACAATGATTCGAAACATTGAAACAATTGACACATTCTACCCGATACCGTAACTTCATGTCATAACAACTCATTTTCGGTTGCTATGCAAAGATATCATATTTCGTGCAGACTGCCGATTCATTTTCTGTAAGGCACGTGACAGCAATGTGATTGTTAAAGCATTGTGAGGATTTTTGAAGGATTAGGGATTTGAGCTTGTTAAGCACAAATTTATTGTTTTAGGTCTTAGGTGTAGGTTAAATATGTTTAGTCTGGTTTTATTTAATTAGATTTTTTTCTCGGTAGTATAGATCTTTATTACCATTTTTAAATGGATACTTATCATTAAAGAACGAAAATAGGTACGTGCTACGTGGTGTTATTTACATTCAATACTTTGAAATAAAATAAAAATGACATTTCATTATTACATACTGGAATATAGAAATTTTTAACATTTTTAAAGTTGTTTCGTTTAGCAAAAACAATTGTTTACAATTTAATCAAAGAACTGAGAGCATTTGACATAGTAGAGACAGAATAAATAACAATTACAATCCGTTACTATTACTTTCGCTGCTATAGAACATTTATCTAAAATAACCTTTGGTTTTCAACTAAAATTAATTCAGAGAAATATAACATTTTTTATTGTCACACAAACATAAAACAACAAAAAATATAAATGTAAAGAAAAATGACGAAATAATTCTAAAATAAAATAATTTTACAACAATAAAATAATAAATACTGAAAATGGTTTAGGATATACATATTATAATATAAAATAAAAATCAAATCTTAACTCATGATACTATCACTGTAAGATAAGATATTGCGCATGTTTTGTGACGTCATTGGAGACTTGCACGTTCGAAATGTCAGTTTTTGTATATATCAATAAATAATCTTTAATAAATAGTTTGGAGATATCCTTATGTGTACGATTATTGTAATTATTAAACCTCTTAACTTATTTTCGTCTAGTAATTTCATCATAGAATGCATACAAATCTCATTTAACTTTAACAAGAATTCAAATTCTAGTCTCCAATGACGGCATGCGCGAACCCGACCGATTTTGAGCTACGGGAAGATCCTATCTTGTTATTCATAGTATCATGTCTTAACTAATAAGTCCTCCTTATCCAGAGTCCTCCTTGTCCAGAGTCGACGTGATTTTTGGAGTCGACACGATGACACGTACTGACTCGACTCGATGTTTCGAAACAGTAAAGATTTACGAACAGCACAGCAACGCAGATGGCAACACAGTATACACCGAACAACGAGAGAGTCGACGTGATTTTTGGAGTCGACACAATGACACGTACTGACTCGATGTTTCGAAACAGTAAACGTTTAATGTATCGAAACATTGAAACAGTTCTGTGACTCAACTCATTGCTTCGAAACATCGACTCACTAGCCAACACTACTCTGTAAGCAGTTCTATCGGTTATAATGAACAGGTTGTTATAAACGATATTATACTAATAGGGACAGTTAGTTCGTTGTACCTAGGGTTATGACGCAAAAATGTGTTACTTTAACTATACTTATAATATGTTATAATAACATATACATAACATTTAACATATGTGTACTTAAGCAAATCTAAATATGTACATACATATATGTATAATATGTATTGAAATAAGTATAAGTAGTGAATAAAGTATACACATAATATAACGGCTTCTCCAAATCTTCGTATTATAAAAATGTAGGCATACATATACTATTTATTTTAAAAAGACAAAAAAAATACATACTTATATGTATTACAAAATATGTAAACACATTTTACCTGAATATTTAATGAAAAAAGTCTGTAATTTTTGTTTGTCGCCTTCCTTGAACTTCTGAAAAAAACATTTTTTCAATTGATGTGGAAACAATCGATAATGATTCTTTTACACTCTGGGAAGTTTCAGCAGTCTGAATAAATGCTCGTATAGTGGAACAAGCAGCATACGCTTCAGCAACAGTAGGGATTTTGTCGAAATCTTCCAATTCTTCATCAGCCTCATCAGTACTTTGTTTGTCACTAGTTTGGTGACTCAGTACGATGTCAATATCTGAGAGTTCTTCACTCGTATTTATTTCGTCATCCACTCGTACATAGTCATCTGCAGAGCAGTCAGAACTGAAAAGGGAAATGGCATCCTGAAAATGCGTTTGTGCAATATCGTTGTATGCGATTCCTGATGGTTGTAAGTCTTTAGTTAGGCCGGAAAAACGAAAACAGTTGATGATCGTTTCCTTCCGCACAGATTCCCATGCCTTTGATATCATTCGTACAGCGTCAAGAATACTGACTTTCGTATCGTCGTTATTCTCTCTCTTTTCGATGATTTTGTACACCAATTCTTTCCGAAAGCATGCTTTAAGACTTCTTATAACTCCTTGGTCCATGGGCTGCAGTACAGACGTACAATTTGGAGGCAGAAAAACGAGTTTAATTTGTTTTAACCTGTCAACTGGGGGGTGGGACGGACAGTTGTCGACAATTAAAATTATGTGTTTCTTTTGTTGTAAAAGTTCACTGTCCCATTTTCCCAAGTAAAGTCTTTTCAAAAATAGCTGACGTCATCCAGGCTTTTTTATTGAAATCATAATCAACAGGAAGATTTTTCACGTTTTTGAAACAGCGCGGCATTTTACTTTTTCCTATCACCAAAAGCTTCCTTTTTATGTAACCGGACATGTTGGCTGCAACAAGAACTGTAACACGCGCTTTTGAGAGTTTACCACCGGAACATTTCTCGCCTTTAAACTTTAACGTGTGATCAGGTGTCAGTCTAAAAAATAACCCCATCTCGTCAGCATTAAAAATTTCATCATCGCTATAGTCGGACCTGAGTGTAGGCCACACATTTTCAACCCAGTCATTTATAATTGATCTTTCAACAACTGCTGACTCACCTGAAATTTTTTCATGGACAATATTGTGGCGAGCTCGAGAACGTTGAACCCAGGAAGCATTACACTTAAAATCCTTCTTCAAAATCACAACGAAAGCATCAGCCTTTACCTGAAGCATCGGCCCACTCACGGGTACATTGTTTGCGCGTTGTTGTTTAAACCAATCGAGCAAAGCACTTTCAATGTCACTGTAATTTGATGACCGAACGCGTTTTCCTTTTTCACACTTATTAAATTGCTTAATAATTTTCTCTCGCCTTTTCATTATTCCAGCAATTGTCGAGCGTGACGTTTTAAATTCCCGGGCAGTCGAACTCGCGGAATCACCGGAATCGACTCGGCAAATTATTCCAAACTGTTCCTCAGTAGTAAATTGTTTTCGTGACATTTTTTCAATGAAGACTAGACACAACTGAATTCAAATTCAGAAACTCTTGGCTTAGGCCAAATGGTGAAATATGTATAAACAAAATTTTGTAATACAATGGAGCCGTCTTGGGAGGTCTAACTGTCTAAAGGACAGTAGATGCCTGTCCGGATGTACTATAACCATAAATTAGTAAATCCTTACTTCTCATTTCGTGGTATTAAATATCGGTAATACCTGTGAGAAATACAACACTACAATGTCCATTTTCATAACTTTACAGGATAGCACTTTTAAACTTATTTATTAAGATGTACGCTGTAACCAATATTTTAACTTCTAGTGTTCCAAGAAATACGTTTGCTCTAACCGATTTGTTCATTATAAGCAATATAAATGCGTTTTTTGTATGTCATTTTATGGGACCTACTATTTTGTTTGTTATATCCGATTGTATGTTATAGCCGGTGTCGTTGTAAACGATTTTGACTGTATTTTCAATCCTAGATGCTTGTTGTCTGCACTGTTTCTTAATACTCATCTTAACTGTTTCGGAGTCTCACTTCTCGTCAGGTAGACTTGTGGTGTAACATAACATTCTATGTTATGTTACAATATTTTTCAGATTTTGTTACATGAACAATTAAGCATAAGAATTATTGAAATTTTAACGATTTCTTTGTAGTGTATTATATTTTTTATATATCTTTTACTAATTGTGATATTTCTTTTACTAATTGTGGCATTTCTTTTACTAATTTTGTCATTTTTATAGGTTAAAGTTAATAAAAATGTAGTGGAAAACGTTATCAACAGTTCTTCACGGAAAATCGGCCAAGATTACAAATGGCATCACAGCAACTCGTCTTCTGATGACATGTGGCTAGAATGCGATGACGAAAACGTCAGAGCCATCTCGAGTCAAGAATTCGTCGAGGAGCTGGCCTACAAACCAAATTCAACGTCAACGCCGTATTTGCTGTTTTATGCCAAAATCACAGACCAACATAGTGAATAATGGTATGATACTAAATAGTTTGTAGGAACTGTGAAAGCCAAAAGAGGGCATGGTATGAAATACAAATAGTAAAGTCATTTAATAGTTTTTTTCTTTGTAGTATGATTTGATAGAAAGAGTTTTACAAATGGTATTAGGATCATATAAGTTCATCGCTTCAATATTAAGATTTATCAGTATTTCTTGTTTGTTTTTATCTTAAATAAATTGCATAGAAGTAGATACAACACCAAATTTGTTGCAGTGTTCAGCCTACTTTGTATCTCAAACCAACAGCAAATTTTCTTGGAACTTCAAATACGATAATATTCTGGTTTTTTTTGCATGTTGGACTCTTAAAAAATGAATTCGAATAACAGTCTTCTTTGGTTTGCCAAAGACGACATTAAAATACACTTTTACCAAATTTTACTCCGTTTTTCTTTTAATATAATTTATTTTGGAAGTCTTGGTACTAAATAAATGGAATGGAAATAAAAGCCAACAGGATTCTTGGAAACCTGCGTATTTACACTGCCAAAATAGCTGCTTCAGTAGAGGTACGTAACTAAGCTGCTGCAAAATCAAGATAACTCCTATTTTTACACGGTGTATAAAATTTAATTCAAAAATGTACTATTAATATTTTAAAATTACTCATTACAAAAATATCTCACAAGAAAAGATGCAATTAAAAAGTAAAAATAGTGTTCTCAAGAAACAAACATAATCTTTTAATGAGTGAAAGAAAAAATGTCGCTTATTTTAGCTTGTACGGATCAGTTCAGATGAGTAATGAGTCCTGTAGATCGTAAACGTAAAAGAATTTAATAAACTGATCAAGTGATAACAAATAATATCACAAGCTAAGTTGAAAAAAAGATCTCACTACCCATGTCATTCCACAATTCGTAGACTTCTCCTTATCTCCTATTTCTACTTTAGTTGCCATGTTTTCATCTAACTTTGCCTATTATAGTGCAATTTGAGCGTCATTGTGCTGGGTTTATTCATGAATTCCATACACTTATGCAATAATGATGATATAATCCAATATATTTTGTTTTTGAAAATTTTTCAAATATCAAATATCATTTTCTTACTTCTCTCCACATTAAAAGAGAAGTAAGAGGACGGTTTCATACTGGATTATAAATTCACTGTAGTTTTTTTATTCGATTTTATTTTGTTAGTTTTGATATAAAATATAACTGAACGTATCTTAATCCTTCTTTTTGTTATTCTGACATGAATCTTTTTTATTTATTTTTTTTTTCAAAGGTATATATGCCTCTTCTAAGTCTCTTGCCGCCATTGCTTCATCAATATCGTTGCGCCAACTTCTCCGTGGTCGTCCTCTCTTTCTTTTTTCAGGAGGGATCCATTCCAGTACTCTTCTAGGCCATTTGTACTCTGGCATTCTTTTAACATGTCCGAACCAGATTAATTGCTTTCTTTCTATTGATTATTGATATTGCGCTCCATTTTCTTTTCATTTCTTATTTGTTCGTTACTAACTCTCTCCAGTTTCGATCTACCGCAGCTTCGTCTCAGATAATCCATTTCTGTCGTCATAAGTTTGTTTCTATTCGCTTTGGTAACGTCTCATACTTCCGAACCATAAAGTGTAATACTTTGGACATTATCTACCGTAAATGTGTTTTTTGGTTTCTCGTCGAATTGGTTTTTGTCAGAGAAGAGAGTTTAATGCACGGGTCGCTGCTCTGCCTTTGTTTATTCTTTCTCTAATTTCATCTGCGCTATTCCCTTCTTGTTGAAAATGACCCCCAAACATTTGCAGGATTGTACGCCTTGATTTTGTCGTCTTCCAAGACTAGGTCACATATTTCATCTGTTCCCACTGAGAGATATTCACATTTTGTCATATTCATGTTTAGACCTGCCACCTCATATTCTTCTTGCAGTTTTCTTACCATATAGCTAAGATCGTAGCTGTCTTCGGCAATTACTACCTGGTCATCCGCAAAGAAAAGTGTATATAGCGTGTTTTCTTCCACCGTTATTCCCATGTTTCTACATTTTTTTACCCATTTCACTAAGGATCTGTTCAAATAGATTTTAAATAAGGTGGGTGACAGACAGCAGCCTTGTCTTAGTCCCTTTGTTGTTTGAAAAGGAGAGGTGATTTGTTGTCCCATTTTAATTCTTGCAAAGTTTTGTTCGTAGTATTTTTGAGTGGCGTTAATAAGAATTGGGTTTATTTTCAAGTTACCCATTTCTGTCCATAGTTGGGAGATAGGTACACTGTCATATGCTTTTTCCAAATCTATTAAAGCTATATGGTAGGCCTATAGTAGCAATCACTGCGATCGCTGTATAGTTTTTAGGGTCCGTCTTTGTGCCTTTCTTGTGTATTGGAGAGATATACGATTGTCTCCATTCTTGTGGAACTTCTTCTTTGTTTAAGCATCTTCCAATAGGTATAACAATCTTAAAGTGGTTTTACACTTTTTTTGTGGGTGAGAGCTAAGGAGTTTTTTTGTTTTGCAGCACAGTGACACTATCTCTGCTCTTTGTTATTTCATATATCAAATAATTACAAAAGGAGCCATTGTGGTACTCTCTTGTATAAACACCAAATAAAAGAACAGTACTATGCCCTCTTGGATCTTTTGTACGAAGGAGGTACATTGTTTAACATTTTTTTAGCTAGTACAAAAATGTTGCAGTGATCTAATGTGATATCACAGAATATTTATATTGACATTTAACAAAAAAAATTTAAATGGATGTACCTATATAGGTAGTTGTTCAAATAAATAAGTATGTGCTTGTTTTTCCGGCAAAATTGTGAATAATGAGCTTCGATATTTTCACGTTAGACCAGTCTACAGAGGAAATTGCATGCTATCACGAGTATTAGTTATATGCATGCGAACGGGATATACTTCGAATAGTCTGTTTCCGTGAGGGTATAATACACATTTGATTACAATTGCCTACAAAGGGCGAAGTTAAATTTTTGGCGTTCACTGGAATTGAATTCAATTTTTGTTGTTCGTGATTGTAAATGCAGTGGGAAGTTTAGGTGAAATTCCGTTGAATGGAAATTCACAGTAGAGTTTCTATTTGCATTAGATATACCTTTTGATCAAAGTCAAGCAATCAATTTAATCAGCAATATAAAAAACTGAATTCTAAACAATGCTTCTGGTGTACCAAGATCAGTTCTAAACAGACTAGGACGAATCTGAAAAAAGGACTACATTAAAAACATCACAAAAATTACTAAATGTATATAAAAATAATTATAGTAAAATCACAATAAAATTTGCATCACATTTTTCGTTCCTATTAATTTCTGTGGTGTTTTGCAAACGGGAGTTTCATTTTCTATTACATTTCTTCGCAATTTTTTAATTCCAGCTCATGCCTTTACTGCGGTCATTGTGTAAACCCTGTTGTAGGCAAAGGTGCGTTAATCGGCTTAAAACGGATTATTTTGAAGTATTCCTTTATCCACCATGTAAATGGTGAGTTACTAGTTAGTTTAATCTTTTTCGCAGTATTCGATATAGACATATTTAATATATAAATACTTTTATAGTTTATAGTTTATCCACAAAAATTGTAAATTGCAAATCGTTAACTAAATTCTGGTTATTTGTGTTTGTATAAATTTTGCTTTCGAAAAAAAAAATGTACAGATTAAATAAATAAAGCAAAAAACTACGAACTCGTTTATTTATTCACCATTACTTTTAATACAAAATTGTGATCTAGAACAGATACATACAGTGAATATAGAAGAAAAGCTTATTTTTGGCTGTTTCTGTTAGTTTTGACTTAATTTTGCAGTACACTGTCCAAGAATTCTTCAGTAGCTTCGCATTTTCGAAGATATAATGAGTTTTGACTCCAATTTAACAGTTTTGTCTAATGTGTCGAACTCTATTTGAATGAATCACGTCATGCATTTATAGGTTAAATACACTTCGAAACTTCTAAATGATCATTTGGTGCTTGGTTAATAAGGATCTTCATGTGGGGGCGTGTCAAAGTCCTACGTTTACTTGGGCTATGAAAGAATAGCATGTGAAAATCACGAACAAGTTATTGAAACACTACATACTTGCAAAAATACAACAACAACTTACAAACTATTCATAACACTAAGTAGTAATAGAATCCTAATTCTTTCTTTCTCCGCTTAGATCTACATGACTAACCAACATAATACACAAACAGATTGTGTGAACTTGAATTGTTACCTGTTCTTAAATTACGTCTACATCTTCCCACATCTTAATCTCACTCTTTATTAATCTCTGTTAATTAAAATTACACGAAAATTTTCCACGCTACACTTTTGTTCATGAATTATATATATATATATATATATATATATATATATATATATATATATATATATATATATATATATAGTACAGGTTGTTTACATACAACTGTCGTTGTTTTCCTGTCCCTAGTTTCCATCGTTTCCCCTCTCGGGTGTCGGCTTCATTTAGCTGTCTTCCTTCCATGGCTTCATTCACGTCATCTCGCCAGCTTCTTCTTGGACGCCCTCTTTTCCTTCTTTCGGTTGGGATCCATTTTAATATTTTCTTTGGCCACCTCTCGTCTAACATTCTGTATACATGACCGAACCAAGTTAGTTGTTTTTTCTGGACTTCATCTATAATGTCTTTTTCTTGCTCCATTCTACGTTTTATTTCTTCATTGCGGATTCTGTCCATCCTTGTCAATCTACAGCTTCTTTTCATAAAATCCATCTCGGTAGCTTGTAATTTTTTCCTGTTTCTTTTACTAGTGTCCCATATCTCTGCTCCGTATGTTACCACCGGCTCAACCATCGTCTTATATATTCGTTTTTTTCGTCGTTCTTGTGATTTTTTTATCCCAGAGAATGGAGTTTAGGCATTTGGTAATGTTTCTGCCTTTGTTTATTCTTGTATTTATTTCTTCATGGCTATTTCCGTCTTTGGTAAACACTACTCCTAGGTATTTTACTCTATTTGTTCCTTTGATTTTATCACTCTCCAATGTCAGGTCTTCCACTGTATTTTTCCCCACTGAGAGATATTCGCATTTTTGTAAGTTCATTGTCAGTCCACA